CTAGACGTTTGTCTGAACACCCGTGATAAGGAAGGTCATGTGCAGATTTGTAGGTTGTTAGGACTACCGTTAGACCTAATCCTGGGGGTTCGAAGGCCCTCTCTCCGTACCTGGGCCGGCATTACTAATTGCTGGAGGTGCATCAAGTAACTGTGAGGCGTCTAACAAGTCTCCCTGGGGTACTAAGCTAGCAAAAAGGTGAAGAAACAAAATACAAAATTCCGTCGACGATCGCGACGGGGAGACCTTTATGAGAGAGAGCACGTAGTGAACCAAAAAGGAGATCCTGCGAGCAGTCTGAATTGAGCAAGAAAAGGGTCAAAAAGGCAAGAAAGTAAAACAAGTATGATCGCAGGCAATGACAAAAGTTACGAGAATGAATCTTCATAGTAGCCCCGGGGGTCCATATGAACAAAATAGAGCATGGAAGAGCGCGTGTGCGCAGGGAAAGTCGTAGGATGCACAGCGTACGATGTCCATAATCCGAGTCATAACATAGATGATATGACAAATGAAGAAACACAATTATGGGTAACGGGGGAGGGATAGCGCATAAAGAGGACATCAGATTGAGTTATCTGCGCCGCTGACCGAGGCACTACTGCCGGAGTAGCTAGAGGAGCTGGAGGAGCCGAAGGAGACGGAGTCACAGAGCACGGGAGGACAGAAGTCAACTACATAGCTATCCGAAGCTGGCCGTCGAATTTGCAGACCACGTCGCACTTCTCTGCTCCCGTCTTCTACGGGAGATATATTTGATTCCTATTAAAGTAAACAGAGACAGGAACAGTTTCAGTAAGGCTTATGGGCACGCATTTATGAGTGGTTGAATCGGTTCTGCTGGGAATGTGCCCATTCCCACGACTACTCTGTTAGCATACGTCTAACAGATTGATAGCCTGCACAAGCGGCGCGCCATTCCCAGGCCCGCGAACTCCGCTTACGCAGCTGTCACGGAAAGCGCGACGTGTCTATCGATTTTCCCCTGATCATGATTGGCCCATGTCGCTCGATGTCTCTCTC